TGGTGTTGAACAGTTATAAAAGATTTACCGGTAATTTTATTTTAAAATAAATACGTGACATTGATCTAGTTAGAGACGGGTTATGCCAAGGTTCAGTGGAAACAAACAGCTAAATGGAAAATTTTTAGATTCATTCAAGTAGAAAATTAACAGTCAATACTTTTTAACCAAACTATTAGATCTTGTTTTCCTAGATACATCAAATGACACTAATTAGAGAGTTGTTTCACAAAAGAAGTGACTTGATTTGTTTTTCGATTCAGATAGCATCCTAAATTGCTGCAAACAAAGAAGTTCCAGCTTGAGAATTACAAGTGTAATCAACTGAATAAGAATTACATCTGCAAATTAATCAGATTTTATGACAATTTATTTAATCTAGACTAAAATTCTAGCAAAGAAAAAAGACTCACAGTAACCAATACCAAACTATTTTGTTACTGTAACTCACAGTAACCATTACCAAACTATTTTGTTACTGTAACTCACAGTAACCATTACCAAACTATTTTGTTACTGTAACTCACAGTAACCATTACCAAACTATTTTGTTACTGTAACTCACAGTAACCATTACCAAACTATTTTGTTACTGTAATATTTAGTAATCAGTACCAAACTATTTTGTTACTGTAACTCTTAATAATCAGTACCAAACTATTTTGTTACTGTAACTCTTAGTAATCAGTACCAAACTATTTTGTTACTGTAACTTTTAATAACCAATACCAAATTATTTTTAATTACCTTTCGTACAAGATTGTTAACAATTTTCAGCACCTGTGCATCTTGGGTAGTGACAAATAAATGAAGTAAATGGCTTATACTTGTACCTTGACCTTTGACCTAATGAGAAACAAGAGAAACTTTAACAGTTATACAATCATAGGGCATTGATAACAAAGCATTTGTTTGAACAAAATAATTTACTCAAGACAGAAATGACATAAATAAAGGATGCAGGGAAGAGAGAATCAGCAAATAAAAAAAGCAATTGAATTAAAATGTAGTTTGTTTGTATTTCTCAATCCTCAGAAATATTTCATTTGAAATGATATAATCATAAAATGTATCAATTAGGTCATGAAATTCTTTTTAAAAATAATTTGGAAATGGCAATCACAATTTCATACATTAATTTCTAAGGCAAGAGATCACACCATACATCCCAAAACAGAAGAGCTAATTCTCTCATTAATTTAAAATAGAACATCTAAAATTGAACTCACTTCTTTAAACCATCGGTATTTGCCTGCAGGTGAATCCAATAGTAACTGTAGCACATAAAACTGGACTGTAGATGGCGCTGTTGTTATACCATTTAGCAAGCGACTAAAATCATGACTACATCTATAGAATGAGTCTGGTAATATTTCTTGATATAAACACAGTATACGTAGTATTTTAGATTTTATCATCGTACCATATTCATCTGTTTCATACAAAATATATAAATTGTTATTCTTGAAAATTATTCACTATAACAATGTAAAACAAATTATTATAATTAGGTACAAAGTCATAATACTATAAATACCAGTTTTCAGCTTTTGTTCATCATTCTCTGCAGATGTAGAATGACTCTGTTCTCCAACTTCCAAAGAGCTATCAATGACCTCTGTTTCCATGACAACATCATCAACATCTTGATCATCACCATTTTTATCAGTTTGTGACTGTTTCTTTGACAGTTTATTCCAGCATGCGAGAATGGAGGAGATTTCTGGAATCACCTAACAAGTAATAACAAAATAAAAGTAGTATTTATTGCCTGATGGAAATGAATAAATAAAAAGACTCCAAGCAATCCTATTAGAAATTAATTAGAAGAGAATGCTTTTCACTTTCTCCATATTGTTAAATAAATTACCATTTAAGGTAGAGATGCAGATTGGGAGACTATTTTTAATTGGCTCTAATTACACAAGTAAAATATAACTTTTATCCATCAAGTTATATATTATTTGAAAGAGTTTTATTTAAACTTTTTAGTCCTATGGTTTACAATAATGTACTATGATATCATATTGAGTGGTGTGAATTTTGGGTTAAAATCATGCATTTTAGGTGAAGGTTTAATGTGAGTTTGGTCAAGAATTTATAAAAGAAGGAAATGTGTCCAAGATATCCATGAATGGTAATATGTGATTCTGTGATCATCTCTCAATTTATGCGACATTATAACAACATTTATATCCCCATGCATTTGTTTTTCGGGAGATGGGCTTCTAATAGAGCAAATATGGTATATTTGCTCAGAAAATATAGGATGTAATAGTTACCTTGGTAACAGCTTCTTTATACAGTCCACTGAAGTGCTTCATATCAGATTGTGAGTAGACGGAATTCTGAATCCAGTTTTCACAATTCTCAGTGTATTTAACAATGAACTTCACTTTATTTAAAATCATTATAAGGAAGTCCAAAATGGTGTTCTGTACAGAACTATCATCAGTCTGAGAACAGGAAATACAACATCAGAGTGAGATATTTAAACACAGTGAAATTTAAAAATGAAAAGGATACATGCAAACGCAATTGAAGTAAAATTGTAAGAAAAGGGAAGCTAAAATTTGTTAATAATAAATGAGATTACCCTAATTCCTTGTAAAATCATAGGTCTAGTTGCTACAACAGGTACAGTAGTAACCATCACCATGGCAACCAACTTGAATAATGGGACTTTGTCAGCCATCTTTAGAGCAGGCGATATTTCAGGTTGACTTTCATAGATCTTACAAATAATTAAAAGTGAAATTAATATTATTTACTATTCAAATGACCATTGGAAAAATACTATGAGCCACATAAAGATTTGACAATAAAAACTCATTAAAATATTGTCATTGATTTGACATAATTATTTTACCCTTACTATATGGCAAAATAGTAAAACAACATCCATTCAATTACAAAGAGTTTTTGGAAGGGGGGAAACTCAAGAATACTACACAACGTGTTAGGAACTTAAAATTGAAAAAAAAAGGGACCTATTTCTGAATACAGAACAGTTGAAATAGTTTCTCGTATGCTGTTACATGTTTTCACATCCAATTTGAACTCATTCATAACACGAATGTGGATAAAATTTGTTTGCATTCCAAAATTTAGTTTTTCACCTTTAAAGAAATTGGTTTAAAAAGATGTGGCAATTTTAGTATACCGATAATACCGTAGTTTATTCATAGTCCAGCACTCAACTTTCGAAAATGGTTCAAGATGAAATAGATAATGTTGAATAGACAAGTTTTGAGTTCCTGTTACCTTAGAAAATTGTCAAAAAAACCGTTTCAATCTCCTCTGCTTAAATAAGTTGTCCGCGCAAACAGTTGATAGCTCACACAGAGAACCAGAGAAACCTGGGTATAAAATGTGCAAGCTAGAAATCAACCCCCGTTCTCGCACGAAAACTGACTGACTGGTACTATAACTCAAAACTTATTTTGAGTCTATTTATACACGTATAACTATTCAAAAAGTGAAAATGAAACCATACAGAAATGGTGACTGAAGCAGTGAACATTTCACTAAGTGTGTTTGTTTAGTTAGGTCAACGTCTGTGACCATCAAAAAATGTTCCAATGAAAAGCTAGTAAATCATCAATCATAAACTAGTAATGAAAAAAGTAATCCACTGAAATCAGAAAACTTAAAAACTTATTAAGTTTAAATAAATAAAATGTAGAGTACTTTACCTTCATGAGAAGATTCATATTAGCAGACCATTTAATGGATTGTCTTGGATTAAACGTATAATCACAACCAGTTAAGTACTTATTTATAATATCAGGGCAAACTTTTAGAATACGAATAACTAAATCTTGTACAAGTATATCATTTACAGCTGACCTCAATGACAGTAAAAATCTTAACAAAATGTTGTTTTGTATTCTGAAATGTAAAATCAAAGAAAAAATATTAGACATTAGAAATAATGATTGATTATGATTTTATAAAATTTGTCCTAGTAAATTATGCATGTACAGGTATTACGAAAACAAATTTGTTTCTAGTGAGTTAAAAAGAGCCTGTGCCAACTCTTTTTGTATGGTTTCTACTAAAATGTAGTAAAAAAATTAACGAAACAAAAGGGATAGAAGAAAAAAAAAGGGTCAATTTGAACTATTTTCTGAGCGTCTCGGGAGCAGATAAAACAATTGGTGTTTTTTCACCCTGATACAGTGGAGAGTACAAACCTGTGAACATTTTAAAATATGTTTTTAGCTGATGATTTATAAACACAAAATGTCAGTCATGAAAGCACATGCAGTTCAATTTATAACATTTTTGCATGTTCTTTGAAGTAGCCTTGAAAAAGCAGGATTTAAATCTGATCAGTTACCATTTTGATGGATAAGAACCTAATTATTTCCCTGAGGATTCAGTTGGACGAGCTACTGAATGACAAGATGTTTGTACATCACATAATATGACAATATAGAACATTTTTTATGTATGTTTACAATGAGAGAAGCACTTTTTTTTTGGCAAGTTTTAGTGCTTGTAGGTGGGTTCTTTGTGTAGGACCATGACTGGTGTAAGTAAGTTAGTTTTTTCGTACTGGAAGTATAAGAGCATGACAGAAAGCAAGTTCCAAGGTAATTGGCCTGTAAGTTTTCAAGCTGTTATTTTGTATGTATAGACGAACAGACACATGTTACCACTAAATTCCACACCTATATAAATAAATTCCATTACCTATATAATGTATTGTTTATACAAACTTACCTTCCTGATGTACCAAGACTTCTATCGAAGAAATTGATACCAAATCGAAGTGAACAAGTCAGTGTTTGTAGAAAATCATGGATCTCTTCACGAATTATATTCAAACCTTCCAACTGAGAATTTTGACCCTGAAAAGATAATACTTTATTACCGAGGTACAACAAGAAATCTGCTCACATTAAGTTATTTTGAGTTCAGTGAGCGTTGTGGGTCTATCAATACGAAATGATAGATAGTGATGTTCAAACCAGTGAATATAGGAGTATTTTTATTATCATAGATGATCATAAATATGTCCATTGCACCTACCGGTTCTGTAAAATACTTTATTTTTGCTTGGAATTTTTTTTTTTTATTTTCGCTATTTTTGCTGAAGGAATGATTTAATGCAAATAAAATCCAGTGAATTTTCCTATATTTTACATTCAATTCGTCAAAAATCAGTGAAAATTATTTCCAGCTAAAATAAAGTATTTTACAGTATCT